GTGTAGGGGGTGCAGCAAACTGAGCGGTGGACTTTTGAGGGGAGGGCCTTCCCATGTTTGGTGTAGTGGTGAAGTGCAGGCGGACTCTAATCTGGGAGAACCGGGTTTGATTCCCCACTCCTCCACTTGCAGCTGCTGGTATGACCTTGGGTCAGTCACAAGTTCTGTCAGAGCTGTTCTTGAAAAAGAGCAGTTTCTCTCAGAGCTCTCTCAGCCCCACCTACCTCCCAGGGGGTGCCTGTTGTGGGGAGGGGAAGGGAAAGGAGTTTGTCAGCCGCTCTGAGACTCCCTTGGGAAGTGAAGGGAGGGGTATAAATCCAATCTCTTCTTCTTCTTCTTGAAAAAGAGCAGTTTCTGTCAGAGCTCTCTCAGCCCCACCCACCTCACAGGGTGCCTGTTGTGGGGAGGGGAAGGGAAAGGAGTTTGGAAGCCGCTCTGAGACACCTTTGGGTAGTGAAGGGCCATGGGGGGTATATATCCAATCTCTTCTTCTTCTCCTCTTCTTCTTCTTCTTCTTCTTCCCAGGATCTTTAAGGAGAGGTGGGTGGGGGATGTCCAGTGTCCTCAGAGGTTTATGACTGTGAGGCTAGTTTTGGGGTGGGAAGACTGCGCTGTGAGTTATTGCCATTCATCTAATATTACGTGGCACTGACTGTGTTTACCATGGCTTGTGCCTGTGGCAGGAAGCCATCCATGTTCATTGTCAAGTCTCTCGCACATTTATCTGTATAATACACACCATTGCAAATGTAGGCCTTGCATCTCAAATTACTGCTTATGTGTGTGTGTGTGGGGGGGATTGTTCCACATGACATTATTGTGCAATCCTCCTCCTCCTGGATTTTTTCCTGCCTTACGGCATTTTCCCTCAGACCTGCTTTGGAGTAATTGTATTCAAAGTGGGTCTGGTCACCTTCCACATCATTGCCACTTAAAAAAAGATGGGGGCAGTGTTCCCTCTAAGCTGAGTTACTGTGAGCTAGCTCGCAGTGTTTTAGCCTCCTGCTCACACATTTTTGTCTTAGCTCAGGAAGGATGGCTCCAGAACAAACTAATCTCCGCAGAAGCCCAATCGCTCACTCACAATTTCAATGCCAGTAGCTCACAAAGTAGAAGTTTTGCTCACAAGACTTCACAGCTTAGAGGGAGCGTTGGTTGGGGGGGGATTCTTTGGCGATGTGAAGGAGTAGGTGGGGACAGGAGGATACCAAAGCGAAACAACAACATGTGGAGGCCCCACACTGCTTTTGCTTTTGCAACAGAATTGAGCACACAATAGGGAATTATCCTCCTATGAAGTCAGTCTTATATTCATGGAGTTTTGTGTGTCTGTATTCATAAAATGTTGGCTCTCGCCTGTTTAAATAATGATTTGTGAAACCGCTCTCATGTGCTGGTCCCTGAGGAGTTCAGTTGGATGGCACTACGAGAGGGATTGTGACTAACGTATGGTTCACTTTTTTGAAAGGTGTTTGGAATTGTGCTGTGAATGACTGTTGCCTGTGGGTTTTGTGGCCTCAGTTGGGTGGAGCCATGAGTCGTTCCTTGGGAGTGGACAGGAAGTCTTATGAAGAAACTTCTGCTTAACCTTCTGCCTACTCTGTTTCTGTGTGTCTTGGCTGCAGGCCCTAGCTGAGCCAAGATGAGCTGGAGCTTCCTGACGCGCCTCCTTGAGGAGATCAACCAGCATTCAACATTTGTGGGGAAAGTGTGGCTCACTGTCCTGATTATCTTCCGCATTGTGCTGACGGCTGTGGGGGGCGAGTCCATCTACTACGATGAGCAGAGCAAGTTTGTGTGCAACACTCAGCAGCCGGGCTGTGAGAACGTCTGCTATGATGCCTTTGCCCCGCTCTCGCATGTCCGCTTCTGGATCTTCCAGATCATCTTGATCGCCACCCCCTCGATCATGTACCTGGGCTTTGCATTGCACCGACTCTCGCGCCAGCCCCCGCAAAGAAACAGAGCGCCCGTGGTGCGGCGCGGCGCGGTCCGTGACTATGAGGAAAAAGAGGACAACGGTGAGGAGGACCCCATGATTTTTGAGGAGGTGGAGCCAGAGAAGGAGGTGAAGGCAGCCGGGGGCCAGAGACACGATGGCCGTCGGCGCATCAAGGACGATGGGCTGATGACTGCGTATGTGCTGCAGCTGCTGTGCCGTTCTGCACTGGAGGTGGGCTTTCTGCTGGGGCAGTACGTGCTCTACCGCTTTGAGGTGAACCCCTCGTACGTGTGCAGCCGGAGCCCCTGCCCCCACACGGTCGACTGCTTTGTCTCCCGTCCCACGGAGAAAACCATCTTCCTCCTCATCATGTACGCCGTGAGCAGCCTTTGCTTGTTTCTCAACATCTGTGAGCTGTGCCACCTGGGTGTGGGCGGGATCCGGGACGTGTTCTGGAGCTCCAACAAGGAGGCCGGTGTTGCTCACAGGCACCACTGCCCCCCACAGGATCCCAGCGCGCCTCCTACTTACCATTCTCTCAAGAAGGAGTCCTCAAAGAGCCAGCTGGCCAAGGACAAACTGACCTACACTGGCGAGAGCTTGGTGGGCATGGCCGCCGAACAGCGCTATGCCATTCCAGCGGGCCTCCCGAGCCATGAACTGGAGCAGCTGCGTAAGCACCTCAGGATGGCCCAGGAGCACCTGGAGATGGCCTTCCACCTCCAGCCGCTGGACACGGCCAGCCCCTCCCGTAGCAGCAGCCCCGAGTCCAATGGCCTGGCCGCAGAGCAGAACCGTCTCAACCTGGCACACGAGAAGGAAGGAGCCGCCTGCGAGCGAAGGACCGGTGAGTTGGGCTGGCCGTGGGCTCTTCGGCGGCCTCTGGCTCCGGCATCCTGGCCACTCTTAAGTCCGTTGCAGATTAGATGTGCTGTTTTTGTAAGCCGCCTTGGCTGGGAGGGCAGGGTATAGATGAAAGAAAGAAAAGAAAAGATAATCTGTTACAGGTGGGGTGGGGAAGAATTTGTGATGCTGCCAGGTCCCACCTTAGACACAGAAGTTAAGGGTACTTTTGGTGTGGAGTGGAGTGCGATCGTGTTATTTGGGTTCTCTGAGGCACTGGGCGGGTCAGGCAAGGGCTACCGGAAATGGTTTGGATGAAAGCCAGGTGCCTGGCCACACTTAATATGGTGGTGGGCTGACAGCAGGTATAGTGAATACCAAGGAAGGCAGATAGACACACTCGGAGTGGTGGGGTGGAATTCCTGAAATGTGCAGCTAGTATGCGCTCCTCTCATCTCTCTGCATTGTTGGCCTAATATAGCGGCTCTGTGCAGTAGCCCAGGTATGTTGCTATCCAGATGGGGTGTGTTTGTGTGCTGCGGTAGATATGTAGTGTCTTAACGTGCTGCAGAGATGCGTGGCACACCGGAGCTGCCACATAATATATGAAGCAATTCTTAGACATGTCAGAGCAGGATAGTCAGGTGTCCAGCAGGGTGTGGGTGAGAAACCAGCAGGCAGTTATACAGGCATGGGGGGGACGGGGGGGCAAGGCCTGCTCCTAAGGTCAAAATGAGAATAGTGATCTGCTTTCCCTCCCTTTCCCCAGGTCTCTGAAACACTGGGCCTCGCTGGGCAGCTGCGCAGATGACAACAGGAAGCGGTTGTGAGGAATGGGCAGTGTGGACGCCTGCCCCTAGCCTGAAGTTTGAAAATGCCCTGACAGTGTGGGTGGAATGAC